TGCCCGTAGAGAAGAGCCCGACTTGGCCGGGGCTGCCGGGAAGGAGCATGTCCTGGCCTGGCTGCTCCGGCCACACGCTCTGGAGTGGAGTGGAGTGCCCAGGTCTCCAAGCAACTTCTTGTCAGGCCTTCAGGGTCACCAGGAGGGGCCCTGTGTGTGCATCTGGCTTCCAGGATGGATGTGGTCCAAGCAGGGAGACCCCCCTGAGAGTTTCCCTCTGCTTCACTCTGGCCCCCACCCGCATGGATCTCTGCAGCCTCCCAGGCAGCGAAGTTCCCTGGGGCAGGTGGCAGAAGCAGGAGCCACAGCCAGGGAGGGAGGAAAGTGGCGTTATATAAGTCTGCAAAAAAGGAGGCTGGCTTGCCATGTGACTAGAAATCAGATACAAGGACAGTCACAGAGGCAGTGCAGCCGCTCCTGAGCAGCAGTTGTGGCCTGGAGAGTGGTGTCTGAGCAGCAGCGGGGAGTGAGGGAGTGGGTGTCTGGTGCTGTGAACTGCCTGTCTTAGAGGGCAACCCATGAAAGAATCATTTTTTGTGATCCTGTAACATGTGTGCTATTTAAATGCCCACAGTTCATTCGATTGATCCTGGTCTCCATCTGGTGAGGTTGCGAGAAATGGGATTGTTATCACTGCTTTACTGATACGCAGACCACAGACTACAGAAGTGAAGGGACTTGCTGAAGGCTGCATGTAGAGCAGGCGGCAGGGCCAGGATTTGAATACAGGTCCCCTGTCTCTGTAGCCAGTGCCACTCTTTTGCTTTATAACAAGGCCTAGCAGGTCATTTCTAAACAGGACATGGGAACATTGGAAGGTGAGGGAGCTCAGGGCTTCGTGGTCCAGTTGCAGGAAGGAAAGGCTGGGACATTCTTCGGTGGAGGGAGGGACTCATGTTGGGGCACCTCCCTGTGCCCAGCTCTCCCGGCTCTGGCCTGTTACTCGGCCTCGCTTCGCACACACTGAACACCGGCCTCCAGGGTCAGGCATCTGTCCTCTATTAGAAAAGGGTCTTGGTGCTGTGGAGACGAGGACCAGGGGCTCCTCAGCGGGAAGTGTTTGTCGGGGCCGGTCCTAACACCAGGCTTGGGAAGAAACAAAGGAAAAGTTGGTTCCTGAGCCACTGAAGTTTATAACCTCCCCGTGTGTTTGAAATAATTCTCCAGGAGGCTGAACGGTTCACCGCCGTGACTTCACCCAGGTCAGTGCTCCAGGGCCATCCCTTCACACAGGCCTTTCCTCATCACCCTGCCGCAGCAGCAGCCCCCTCACTGTCTGGGCTGTTACCAGGTTTTGTTATTATTTTCTTCATGGACTTGAGACCACCTGATGCTGCACATTGGTTTGTTGGTTTGCTTAGTCTGTCTCCTCACACTAAAGTGTAAGCTTTGTGACAGAGGGAACTGGGTTAGTTTGCTGGCTGTTGTGTCCCAGGTACGTGCGTAGTGCCGGCATGTAGCAGGAGCTCAGTGGACATGGGAATGAGTGATGTGGCAGCAGGGAGGGTGGGGAGAGGACAGTTCCAGGCATCACAAGGTCTGAGTTCTGGTTCCTGCTCTATCCAGTTTTTGCTGTGTGACCTCAGACAAGTTCCTGGATCCCTTTGGGCTGTAGGCTTTTCGTCTCCACCATGAAGGGGAGGAACCAGATGCCCTGTAAGGCTGTTTCTGAGGCCTGTGTTCTGAGAGTCTCTATATGAGAGACACGGGAGGTTGCCAAGGGGTTTGGAAAGACCTCGCATCCTGTGCTGTCGTTTCTTGTGACACGTTGAGGGCTGGGTCTTAGAAAGACAGCACCCATGATGCTGAGTGTGTGCATGTGTATGTACATGGTGAGTTTATCTCCATTCGTTCACAGGCATTTTGGAGCACCTCCTATGTACCAGGTATTGTCCTGGCTCTGCAGTTACAGGGGCGAGGCAGATAGCCAACATCGCTGCCCTGGTGGAGCCTGTGGTGGGTGGAGAGAGGCTAGAGCTGGCTGGGGGCTGTGGTTAGGACCTGACCCAGGCTGGGGATGATGAGGGGCTGGGTGGAGGTAGGCAGGTGAAGGACTTACTGGGATATGAGAGGGTGATTTTTAAATTTTTTTCAGTTTACCCTTGGAAAGATACTAAAATGGATCTGTTAGAATCTGTTTAAGGATAAATAAACACATTCATATGAGTATTGAAGGGGAAAATAATAAAATGTTAATAGTGGCTCTGGTAGGTTGGAATTATGGGGGTTTCATTTTTTTCCTCTGGTTCTCCAGATGTCCTATATAGTGTCTGTATTACTTCCGTCAAAGATTCCCTGTCAGGGTTTACGATTTTGTTCCTGGGTTTGGCCTGCTCTTGAGCCGGTCTCATTGTTTGCTTTGCTGATGTCTGTGCACAGAGCCCTGGGGACCTTTACCAAGTCCCAGCCTCAGTAAGTGAGAATTCTTGGCTCTGCTCTGCCTGCTTCACGGGGCAGTTGTTTGAATCAGAGGAGATGGTAGAAGAAAAACATTTGGAAATTCACCTCTTGGCAAAGGGAAGAGCCAGTGGACTAATACTGGTGATGGGAGCCAGGGCGGGCTGCGGGGATGGTCCGAGTGCAGGGAAGGGGAATGGGGCTGGTGCTGGGGGCACTGCCTTCACCCTGAGGAGCAGCTTTCAGGCCTCCCTAGTTCTCTGGCCCTGGTAGCAAGAGACTCTCCCTGACTAACAGGTAGATGCAGTCGAGCAGGCTGTTAGGGATGTGACTTCAGTGAAAGAGAATCAAAAGCTGGCTCCCAGCCCCTGGCACACACATTTATAAAACCCACATGCTCTGTGCATGAGGTCAATAGTAGGAGTTCCGCCACCACAGCAACACACAGCTCTACCCGCCACCAGCCCCTCCCATCAGGAAGCTTGCACAGGCCTCTTGGATAGCCTCATCCACCAAAGGGCATACAGAAGAGGCAAGAAGGTCTACAGTCCTGCAGCCTGTGGAATGAAAACCACATTCACAGAAAGATAAACAAAAAGAAAATGCGGAGGAGTATGTACCGGATGAAGTAACGAGATGGAACCCCAGAGGGACAACTGAATGAAGTGGAGATAGGCAACCTTCCAAGAAAGCATTCAGAATAATGATAGTGAAGATGATCCGGGACCTTGGAAAGAAATGGAGGCGGGGATCCAGAAGATGCAAGAAATGATTGGCGAGGACCTGGGGGAATTAAAGAACAAACAAACAGAGATGAACAATGCGGTGACTGGAATGAAAAATACACTGGAGGAAATCAATAGCAAAATAACTGAGTCAGAAAAATAGATGGGTGACCTGGAAGACAGAATGGTGGAATTCACTGCCATGGAACAGAATAAAGAAAAAGGAAAGGAGAGAAGTGAAGACAGCCTAAGAGACATCTGGGACAACATTAAGCGCACCAACATTCACATTATAGGGGTCCCAGAAGGAGAAGAGAGAGAGAGGGGACCCGAGAAAATATTTGAAGAGATTATAGTTGAAAATTTCCCTCACATGGGAAAGGAAATAGCCACCCAAGTCCAGGAAGCGCAGAGAGTCCCAGGCAGGATAATCCCAAGGAGAAACACACGGAGACACATAGTAATCAAACGGACAAAAATTTAAGACAAAGAGATTATTGAAAGCAGCGAGGGAAAAGCGACAAATGGCATACAAGGGAAATCACATAAGGTTAACAGCTGAATTCTCAGCAGAAATTCTACAAGCCAGAAGGGAGTGGCACAATATATTTAAATTGAAGAAAGGGAAAAACCTACAGCCAAGGTTACTCTACCCAGCAAGGATCTCATTCAGGTTCGACAGAAAAATCAAAAGCTTTACAGACAAGCAAAAGCTAAGAGAATTCAGCACCACCAAATCATCTCTACAGCAAATGCTAAAGGAACTTCTCTACCTGGGAAACACAAGAGAATAAAAGGACCTGCAAAAACAAACTCAAAACAATTAAGAAAGTGGTAACATGAACATACATAATGATAATTACCTTAAATGTGAATGGATTAAATGCTCCAACGCAGAGACACAGGCTCGCTGAATGGAAACAAACAAAAAAAAGACCCATATGTATGCTGTCTACAAGAGACCCACTTCAGACCTAGGGACACATACAGACTGAAAGTGAGGGGATGGAAAAAGATATTCCATGCAAATGGAAATCAAAAGAAAGCTAGAGTAGCAATACTCATCAGATAAAATAGAATCTAAAATAAAGAATGTTACAAGAGACAAGGAAGAACACTACATAATGATCAAGGGATCAATCCAAGAAGAAAATATAACAATTATAAATATATATGCACCCAAAATAGGAGCCCCTCAATACATAAGGCAAATGCTAACAGCTTTAAAAGAGGAAATTGACAGTAACACAATAATAGTGGGGGACTTTAACACCTCACTTACACAAATGGACAGATCATCCAGACAGAAAATTAATAAGGAAACACAAGCTTTAAATGACACACTAGACCAGATAGATTTAAGTGATATTTATAGGACATTCCGCAAAAAAATAAAAAAATAATAGGAGTTCCTGCCTCCATCCCATCCTCCTTTAGTCTTTGGTCTGTAGCCTCAGCAAGCATCCAGGTCTTATTATGTCTTCCTACCTTATGATCCGGCGGCAGATATTGTGTCTTGCCAACAGGGGCAGTTGAAACAACAGAGCTTGAAATCTTGATTATTCATGGTAACTGACTCCTTCCTGTGGGTCACCTGGCCCAGTCTGGATTCTCAAAGAGTGGAAAACACTGGCTTTTTGTCCCGCTTCTACAGCAGCTTGTCATTCCTCTGCTGACAGCCCTTCCTCGAACCCTGAACGAAGGGCAATAAGGGGCCTTGGTGTCCAGTGCTCCTAAGCCAAGGGCTGGCTCTGTGATGGGGGCTGGGGTGTGTCATGGCATTCGTGGTCAGGGCTGGTCTGTCTGGGGAGCATTGACTTTCCCCTTCCCAACCTACCTGTGTCAATTCTCTACTTTTCTGTTTTCTTTTCCCAACAGATGTCAAGCCTTCCAACATCCTAGTGAACTCCCGTGGGGAGATCAAGCTGTGTGACTTTGGGGTCAGCGGGCAGCTCATCGACTCCATGGCCAACTCCTTCGTGGGCACAAGGTCCTACATGTCGGTATGAGCACCTCGTTCCATTTTTCCAGCTTCTTATCTGATCAGGAATAGAAGCCAAGTGGGTGCCTTCCCCTACGGAGCCAGACCCTTGTGCTTGGGTGATGGGGGTGGGTGAGAAAGAACGAGGGATGAGGCATTGTGGTCCCCTCCCTGAGGAGATCAAATTCTGATGGGGAGATGGTCTTGGCCTTTCACAGGCCTTGGAGCATGGTTGGGGCCCTGGGGCCCTGACTCAGTGGAAGAGATAGTAGGATCACAGCTTCAGCTCTCACTGGCACTTGGATGTTTCCCAGAGCTTGGCTTCCATTCTGAAGACATTGAGCTCCAGCTACCCTCAGGACCTCTGCCTGATCGTCTTCAGACCCTCAGACTGACATGCCCAGACATGCCCCCACCCCACATTGCCCCACCATTTCCATTAGCAGTAAATGGCATCACTGTTTCCTTAGTTTTTCAAGGTAGAAACCTGAGCATCAGCCTTTAACCTCTCTTCCCAGCTCCCCATCGTTTTAGCATCTAGCAACCCCCAACTCCTGTGAGTCTATTCAGAATTGTCTCCCCAGTCCAGCCTCTTCTCTTCCTCCTCACTGCATGTCTCCCAGTTACCTGCCCATCTCTCACCACAGCACACCTACCTGGTGTTTCCTGCTTCCAGCCCTGCTGGCTTCCACCGCGCCCAGGGGTGACATTGGCATGTTCTCTTGCTTCCCCCATACAACCAGCTCCCTGGGGGGCAGGGATAGGGCCGGAGGTGTCTCTGTTGTCCCAAGGGTCTGGTTTGGCTCCTGGCACACTGTAGATGTTCAGGGAATTCTTGGCAAGTGAGTGAATGGTTGACTGAATGGGTGAGTAAATGGCTAACACGCTCATGAGAACGATTCAGAAAGGGGAAACGTGGCTCTGGGTGAGTGCTGACCAGGGCAGAGTAGAGGAGCGTTAGTTGGAGTGAGTGGGAGGCCTTCGCGGAGGTGGAAGGAGGGGCCGGTGTGGGGGCTCAGGGCATCTTAGCGTGTTGTGTTTTCTGTACATTCTTCAAAGACTTTCACATCCTGGAGTGGTGATCCTCTTTGATCTATATGGTTGTCCCATGAAGTAAAGATTAGTGTACCCAGGGCTTCCCTGGTGGTGCAGTGGTTGAGAGTCTGCCTGCCAATGCAGGGGACACAGGTTCGAGCCCTGGTCTGGGAAGATCCCACATGCCGCGGAGCAACTGGGCCCGTGAGCCAAAATTACTGAGCTTGTGCGTCTGGAGCCTGTGCTCTGCAACAAGAGAGGCCGCGACAGTGAGAGGCCCGCGCACCGCGATGAAGAGTGGCCCCCGCTCGCCGCAACTGGAGAGAGCCCTCGCACAGAAACGAAGACCCAACACAGCAAAAATAAAATAATTAATTAAAAAAAAAAAAAGATTAGTGTACCCATTTTAGAGACGAGGAAATGTAGACTCAGGGAGGTGAAGTGACCTGCCCACTTCACCTTGCAGAGCCGGCGTTGAAAGCCAGGCTTCCTTGCCGGTCAGTCCCCCTTTGCACTGCAGGATCTCACTTTCCTCTTAGGTAAGATTTGGCAGCTGCTCCTGGCCGCCCTGTGTGGAAGGTCCTGCTCACACCCTCATTCCTTCTTGTCTGTCCCCTGCCCACACTGGCTCCAGCCACTGGCAACATGACTCACCTGGCGCCGACCCACATCACCACCCCCTCCATTCCAGTGGCTAAAGGCATGAAGCCCATCAGCTCTTCACCTTCTTCCCTAAATGTCTAAAAACTGAGCAGCGAGCACGCTGGGCTACTCAACTGCCAACTGTCAAGTTCAAAATCGATTAACAGGCCCTGGAACTTATATTGATCCAGGGTTTAGTGGTTTGGGTTTTTGTGGTTACATGGTAAGTTACAAAATAGTTCAGTGTTGGGGTCAGTGAAAAATCCTATGGGTGAAATGAATTTGATGTCTAAATAAGTGCACGACGGTCAGAATAAAGATTTTTTTTTTTGGTAGGGTTCTTGAAATACATGTACTATTTCAATTAATGCTCAGTAAAAATAATGCTTTGTATAGCACAATATATAATATTTCTTTCTCTTTGACTATTCTCACCAATAACAACTCATATTTGCATAACATTTTGCAACATCTAACATACATTTTCATTTGATTTGACCTTTCCAGTGCCCTAGTTAGTAGAGCAGGTATTTTGTTATGTTGTTACTATCATCATTAGCCCCATTTTGTTATGTTGTTAGTCCCATTTCATTAGCCCCGGGAAACTGAGGCTCAGGATCACCTAGCTTGTAAGTCCCAGACTTGGGACTTGAACCCAGATCCTTTGCCTTTTCTACTCTTCGATGTTGCCCAAGAACAGTGAGTGAGTGGCAAAGCTGGTCTTAGAACTCAGCTCTCCTTACTCTCAAGGCCAGTGTTCTTTCTACCCACTGATACCTCATTCATGACCCATGTTCCAGAAGCTTCATGTTTTTGGACTCAGGACTCAAGATGAGCCTCTCATGCTGGGCTTTGGATAAGCTGTCCTGCACATGCAAGACAGTGACGAGGATGAGCAAATCTGGAGCCACAGCTGAAGGTTAGCCAGGGCCCAGCTGGGTAGGATGCTGTTAGTTCAGGGAAGGTTATAGGGGAGACAGGAGTTAGGGGTCAGACCCACGGGAGCCAGGTAGGATTTGGTAGATACAGTATTTGGGGGCAGGTGGGAAGCCAAATTAAAGAGGTTGGTGGAGGTCCTGAAACAGGATGTGAGCTTTGGAGAGGAAGGGGCAGAAGAAGATAAAATGCATCGGTAGACCCAGGGCTGGGACCAAGCAGGGCAGCCCTGCCCTCCCTTGCAGTGCAAGCAAGCCTCAAAGGGGCAGGAAGCCCCAGGTATTCATGAGGACTCACCCATCCCTCTTCTGCTTGGGCCAAGCTAGCTCACAGGTGATAAATGTGTCTGTCTCTCCTGCAGCCAGAAAGACTCCAGGGGACTCATTACTCGGTGCAGTCGGACATCTGGAGCATGGGGCTCTCTCTGGTTGAGATGGCGGTCGGGAGGTATCCCATCCCTCCTCCAGATGCCAAGGAGCTGGAGCTGATGTTTGGGTGCCAGGTGGAGGGAGATGCGGCTGAGACACCGCCCCGGCCAAGGACTCCCGGAAGGCCCCTCAGCTGTGAGTGGCCTGGTGTGGCCCCAGCTTGGCCTGTGGGTGGTCTTTTGCTGTCAGGGGTTTCTGGAGGGCTGATTCTCTGTCTCTGGAGCCAGGCTGGGGCATGGGTCTCCAGGTGTAGGAAATTATTATTACCAACAACTTCCTACCATTTGTTGAGTGCCCACTGTGTTCCTGGTACTGCGCCTAGTATTTTTTATGTATTATCTAATTTTAAAAATCATGACTTTGTTTTAGGTAGATTTTTTTAAAAATTGAGATAAAATTAACATAACATAAAATGCACATTTTAAAATGTACAGTTCAGTGGTTTTTAATATATTCCACCATGTTGTACAACCATCACCACTATGTAATTCAAGAACATTTCCATCACCCCAGAAAGAAACCATCTCCATTAGCAATTACTCCCAGCTGCCCCACCCTGACCCCTGGGCAATCAACAGTCTACTTTCTATCTCCATAGATTTGCCTGGTGTTGTCTAGTTTTAATAGCAGTCGTGTGTGAGCACTACTCTAATTTCCATTTTAGATGTGAGGAAACTGAGGCACAGAGTGCTTGACTTGCCACATGCATTGATTTGTAAGTGGCCAAGTCTGACTCTGAGGTGGTAAGCACTGTGTAGCACTGCCTGCCTTTCTGAACTGTGAAGGAAACCTGGTATTGGAAGATCCTGGCCCAGCTATCATCTTCTGATGTAGCTCCTGCTAGGACATTCCTGTCTGACCAGGGAGACCTGGTCTTTACCTCCATGAGGCCCACATGGGAGAGGGCATGTATGAAAGGAGAAACAGGAGGGGGCAGGGGTAGCCGATGGCGGGTTGTTGCAGGGGCTGGTGGCTGTGGCCCCTGAGAGCCAAGAGGAAGAGACCCAAGTTCAGGGAAAATGAAAACTAAATAACTCTAAAGGATTTAGTTATTATCTCATTTGCTCCTCTTTCAGTGTAAGGAAGGGGAGAAAGGCAGACATAATTTTTACCCATCTCTACAAAACTCAAAACGAGGCTGTGGTCAGCTGATTTACCTAAGGTCACAAATCTTGGATGCGGCAGAGCCCAGACTCCAACCCTGGTCAGCTGACTCCGTGGCTTTGGCTGGTCCCCTCTGTGTTCAGGCCTTATCTGTGGCTCTTCTGTCTCTCTTTATCGTCCACGACTCTGTTCTAGTCACTAGGGTCCATGCCCACCCCTAGCCTCATATTGGCAAATAACCTTCTGTTTCTGAGAAGTGTTTTCTTTTCTCTTTTTATAAAATCTGTAGCTTATGGAATGGACAGCCGACCTCCCATGGCAATTTTTGAGTTGTTGGATTACATAGTCAATGAGGTAAGGTACTGCATGGCTTTTGGAATTTATTTGCTCCTCTTAAGAAAAAAACTCACAGTTGATTTGTCTGGGAAACCTCTGAACTGTTCCCACAGTATGGGCTGCCTGGGCTCCAAGATTTGTGTGTCCTGGTTTGTGCATCATGATCCTGGAATTGAGTGGCTGGTTTAGAGGCTGCAGAAGTCCCTTCCCCAGGAACATCTTCATGCAGCTCTGAGTCCCTCCTCCTCTCTCAGATTCAGGAGCCCCCCCCACCTGCCCATTTACATTCTCATCCTTCATTCACCAGGCATTTCCTTTTTTTCACCTAGCATTTCTTGTGCACTTATTATGTGCTAAGCACTGTGGGGTGGCGGTAGGAGTGAGATGGGGATCCACAAATGGAAAAACAGTCTCAGGTCTTAAAGACTGTTAGATTGCGTAGGGGAGGCAAGGCAAATGCATGTGTAACTGCAGTATATGGTTTTCTCCATATAAAGCAATGAACATAAAAAGTGACAGTGCAGAAAGAGATATGGAAAATATTCACTATTAGTTGAGTGAAAAAAGCAGATTATAAAATAGTATGTATACCATGATTGGTTCTTTAAAGAAATCTATGTACGCATGTATGTGCACATAAAGCCTGGAAAGTAATATGATATAGTGATTATCTTGAAGTGATGGAATAACAGGTGATTCAATTGCTGTTGGCTAACTTTAATACAAAGAAGATATATTGTGAAATATATATACCAGTATGTTTAAATGTAAAAAGGATCAAGGAAGGGACTGACAGGTATTCATCAGTTTGGGTTTGGGGGAGCGGGAAGCTAGGGACTAGCACCATGGCTGCTCAGAGGAGGGTGGGGCAGGGCTGGAGGAACCTGAGGGCAGGACAGGATTTCAGATGATTAAGGAAGGCCAGCACTCTCGGCGTCTGGAGCAGCATGGGTAGAGGAAGAGAATGGTCTAGCTCTGACTAGACCATTCTAGTCTAGTTTGGGAGGCAGCTGGAGGCCTCCCACTCGGCTGAAGTGCATGGCAAAGGGCATCAGCCCATTTTCTTCTTCCTTGAGACTAGTGGAGTTTCATGCTTTCTTACTGCTCTCTAAAACCAGACCCCCAAAGTCTCAGATAGGTCCCCTTGTTCATTACAAACTCAGCGGGGAAAATCCTGGCTCACCCCAGCTGTTAAAAAATCACTGTCACTGGTTCACAGTCTACTGGAGAGCTTAGTTCAGCTCTCTTTACTGCCTGGCTGCACAGCTTTATGCTAAGCACTGTGGGACACAGGAAGTTCGGGATCTGATCTAGGCTGCTTAAGGACTCAAGGAAGGCAGAATGTGTTGCATTTGTGTTAGGAAAGCCATCCTCTCCTGCTGGGACCTAAACTGGGTCGTGCTGGGTGGGAGCCACATTAAGGGAAGGGATGGCTGAGGTCAAATAGTTGCCAGTCACCTAGTGTGCACCGATTTCTTAGATATTTTCACATTCATTTTCCTACTGAGTGCTCCAAGCACTGCTCAGGTGGGCCAGGTTGGTTTTGCTATCCTTTTCATACAGCTAAGGGAACAGGCTCCAAGATGAAAAGCAGCTCAGGCCCGTCCCTCCTAGCGCTCTTCCTTCCTTCCCACCTACTCCTCTTAGCCCCCATCCTACCTCCCAGGAGGCTGGGCTGCACGGTGGTGACAGGTGGCCTGCACCTCACACTCTGCTGGCACACAGCCCCTCCTTTGGCCTCTCCCTTGAATAGTCGCTTCGTCCCCCTTCAACACCATGGGCCCCAAAAGCTGGGCTTTAGGCCATGACCTGGGATCAGGCTTATTCACCTGCTGTTCTGATAAGGCGTTCAGGGGAAGAGGACTAGGCTGGACTCCTCTGGTAACGTTAGTGTTTGATTTTTAGTCTCCAATCACCTGTTGACTTGGGTTACACATCAGAGCAGTGTCTGGGAGTCAGCTCACAAGGAAGCTGCACAGAACCCCAGTATGGGTCACAAGAAGGGTGGGGGGCTGTGTGGTGCATGATCAGGGTGCCTCAGGGCCTTGCCCTGTGTGATCTCCACCATACACCCTGGAAAGACGAGGGCTACTGCCAGTGTGCTTGCTCTGATGCCTGCAAACACCCTCATTCCTGCAGTGAGTGTGTAGGTAACATTCTTCCAGACCCAGCTCTCTGCCAGTTAATGTTTTTTTAACCTTTGTGTGCTCCTTCAGAGCTCAGGAGGGGTAAACATTTTATTATTTAGCCAGCCTTACAGGTGCTGTCCGGGCTGGGCTATGCCTAGTGGTTTGCACACCCCCTAGCTGCTGCTCCTGGTAATTGATGGTTCTGTTTCCCTGCCACACTCCAAGATGTACAGTGGTAGAGGCTGCGAGCTAAAAAGGGCCCCAGGGATTGTTAAGCCCAACCTCCTCATTTCACAGAAGGGTCATCTGAAGCTCAGAGAGGAACAGTGATTTATTCAGTCACTAGACAAGTGAGTGCTCAGAACACTGACCTGGCCCCAGTTCTGACTGGTTTGAGATTGATGGTTCCAACAGGGTAACCCGGTAGCAGCCATTGTCCTCTCACCCCTGCCTTTCCTTGACTGGATAAGGGCAGCACTGCCCAGAGGTGGGAGTGGGGAAGGGAGAGATGGGTGGAGCAGGACACCGGGCATTTCTTATGTCTTCACATGTACTTGCAGCCTCCTCCAAAGTTGCCCAGTGGAGTATTCAGTCTGGAATTTCAAGATTTTGTGAATAAATGGTAAGTCACCTCCTGTTCTCTGAAAGTACTTTGGTTTTGTCAGGCTCCCCATCCATCTTGGAGAGCACAGCTTTGCCTTTTACCCTTTAGCTGCTGCCCTTCATCCAGAGTGCTAGGACTTCGGTGACCTATCTGACTGTAGCAGTGGGCAAAACAGCTGCTGCGCTCAGCACTTACTGTAAAGGGACTGGCATATTGCCTTTTGGCCTTAGTTTAATTCAACAAGCGTTTATTAACCTGCTGTGGGTGTGACACTCTGCTAAGAACAGGAAGGTGGGTAAGGCTTAGGCACTCTTCCTGAGAGCCTATGGGGTGTGGGGAGGACAGGCATGCATGCACACGTAAGTAATCTGAATTAGAACCAGTGCCAAGCAAGAGCTCTCACACTCTTT